CCTCTCTCTCCCCCCCTCTCTTTCTCTCTCGCTCTCTCTTTCTTGCTCTCTCTCTCTCTCTCTCTCTCTCTCTCTTGCTCTCTCGCTCTCTCTCGCTCTCTCTCTCTCCCTCTCTCTCTCTCTCTCTTTTGCTCTCTTGCTCTCCCTCTCTCTCGCTCTCTCTCGCTCTCCCTCTGTCTCGCTCTCTCTCTTGCTCTCTCGCTCTCCCTCTCTCTTGCTCTCTCTCTTGCTCTCTCTGTCTCTCTCTCTCTCTGTCATATCTCATCAACTCTATTGGGTTCAGTGATCTCTATGCAGATTATTCCCAGATCCACGTATCCATCCCCAATCTCCTGATCACCAGTTCCACCTCACTAATTGCCTATTTGGATGTCCTGAAAGTGTCTCGAGGCAGCTCTTGGCACAGTGGCTTGACTTAGAGACAAGAAGACATGAATTCAAATCCTACCTTAGATACTAGCATGTGACCCTGAGCAAGTCAGTCAACCTTGGGCTGCCTCATTTTCCTTGTCTGTAAAATGAGAATGGTCATAGCACTTACCTCCCAGGGTTATTGTGAGGATAAAATGAGATAATATTTGTAAAGCATTTTGCAAACCTTAAAGCACTACATAAATGCTTCTGTTATTATTATTTATTTCAAATCTAGCATTCCAAAACAAAACTTATCATCTTTTCATCTCAAACCTGCTACATTCTGAACTTCCTTGTTTCTGTTATGGACACCACCATCATTCTGGTCACCCGGGTTTGCAAGTGATGTCATCCTCAACTCCTCACTCACCTCTTCCCACACATGCAATAAATTGCCAGATCACCTCATTTCTTTCTCTGCAACATCTGTGCTCTCCATTCACACAGCCATTGCCCCAGTCCATGTCCTCATCATTGCTTGTCTGAACTCTACAAAAACTTCCTCATTGGTGACCTGGCTGCAAGTCTCTCTCTGCTGTAGCTGAGAAAATGATTTTCCGAAAGTGTGGGTTGAGTGATATCATCTCTGAACTCGGTAAACTCCAGGGTTTCCTTTTTATCCTTGGGATCAAATAGCAGCCTCACTGTCTGGCATTTCAAATTCTTTCTGTTCTTTTTATGCATCACTCACCTTCACCGTCTCACCTCCATAACACTTCCATCTCATGATTCTGCTTTTTGCAAGGGCTCTCTGTCCCCCAGGTCTAGAGTGCTCATCCTCGTCCTCTCTGGATTCCTTCAAGACTGCTCAAATGCTACTTTCTGCAGGAAGCCTTCCCTCTGTAAAGGTTAAAGCTAACTGTTATTTATTAATAATAGCAATTATCAGTAATTACTTTATCATACATTTATGGTTTTAATAATTAACAGCAGTTGCTAATTATTAATGACATTTATTATTAATGACATTACTTATCCCCAAATGCAGTGATTATTCATTATTAGTAATAATATTGTATTAATTATACTGTATTAATTAGAATAATCATTACCAAATATTTTAATGTTTATTCATAATTTTATTTCTAAATAATTTATTATATATTAATACTGCTTATTAGCAGTAACCTTTATTAATCATATACCATGTCAATATTCATTTTACGATACTTTATTATTTATGACAATTTAATAAAATAGTTATTTAAATTAATTCTTTAAAGGGGAAGAGAGCTGCTGCTGTCTATTTTGGCCTTTCCTTTCTGTTCCTGGGCTTAGCATATTGCTTGGTAGAAAACAAGCATTTAATAAGGGCTTGGTGAGCTATTGACTAATAGCTGACTTGTCATGATGCTTCACTGGGTTAATTTCTTTGATCTTCACAATAGTCCTGCAACTGGGGTAGAGCAGGTGGTGGTGTCCTCATTTTGCAAATGGAGAAACTGATACAAAGGCGAGATTAAGTGGCTCCCACAAGGTGTTCACATGAACTGCTTAGACTTGGAAGAGATGTTTGAAGATCATGTAGTCGAAACCCCACCTTTTCCAAATAAGGAAACTGAGGCCCCAGGAGTGGAAATGATGATGTTAAAGCCAAGACTAGGTAGAATCAAGGTCTCCTGACTTAGTGTGGGACTCTTTCTGCTAAAACCACACTGATTTTCAGTCATTTTAAATGTTTTTCTTTTGCTATTTTTAATTAAATTGCATGTGTTCTCTATCAACTGTCATCCATGAATTGAGACAGATGGACTAGAGGACCCTCTGTGGCCCCTTCTGTTCTTAATTTACGATCCTATTATTCTTTGAATTTAAGATTAACAAAAAAAAAAAAGGACCAGTTCACCATGGCTTGCTAATCTTCCTACGCGGTTGTGAATTTCGGTTTGATCTGGACCTACCATTTCTTTGGAGTGTAGAGACCTTAACTGTTGTAGATTGGCAGCTGTTCTGAAGTTTTGAGTGTGAAAGAATTGCCTGGCACACCAAGGGGTGATGCTGTCAGTCTGCGGCACAGGCAGACCTTGAATCCAAGTCTTCCAGACTCTGAGGCTGGCTCTGTGTTCTGTGCCCTTTAAAGAGGTGGTCGTGACCATTGTGTCTGGCTGTTGCTTTAACTGATTTCCAATACTCAAAAAATTTGTGGAGGAAAGACCTTTGAAACCCAACAAAGCATATTTCTCTGTCTTCCCACACTTGCCTTTTTCAGTTGAAGATATCACCATCCTTCCTGGCACCAAGTCTTGGAGTCATACTTGACCTTTTCCTCTCTTTGACACTTCCCATAGGCCATCAATTGCAATAGCCTGCTGATTTTCCCTTCTCACCATCTTTTGCCTTTGTCCCTTCTGTCTACTCATGCAGCCACCACTTGAGTCTAGGCCCTAATCATGTCTTCTGTTGCAGGTAGCCTCCTTGTCGCTCTTCCTGTCTGCAGTCACACCCTTCTACAACCCATCTAGCAGCACACAGTTGCCAAAAATAATGATCCTAAAGCACAAGTCTAGCCACGTGTAAGCCTGCCTTAAGAATTTGCAGCAGCTCCCTGTTGCATCGACAACGAATATTTACTTGCAGCTTGGTACTTAATTGTCAGGCCTCATCCTGCTTTTCCAGGATAATTTCACATTGTCCCTCTTGTGTGCTCTATATTTCATCCAAATGGACCTGCTTGCTGTTCTCTGCATTTGGCACTCCATTTCCTGTTTCCATGTCTTTGTACAGGCTGTTCCGCCTGTCTGGAGTGTGCCCTTTCCTCACCTCCAGCTCATAGAATCCTTAGCTTGAAGGTTCAAATCGGATGCCACCTCCTGTAGGTACTCGTTCCCGACCCTCTTAAAGTGTTAGTATTCTTTGCCCTCTTAGAGTATCCTGTATTTCTTATCCCATGTGTATATATCTATATCTATAGCTATATCCATAGATAGCTATGTATATGTATATATAATTAGTATTCTTTGCCTTCTCATAGTATCTTATATTTCTTTATCCTGTGTATATCTATATATTTGTAGATATATATATATATATATATGTATATATATCTCCATATATGTAGGTATGTTACATCCCCTCAGTAGAGGGCCTGTTAAGAGCCTTTAGAGGAGGGACAATTTTTCAGTTTGCCTGGTTCAGTGCCTTGCAAAGTCGTGTTGGATTGAATGTCTTGGTCTTAAGCTCCAGAGGGAGCTATTAGTGACTTGCAAGGAGGAGGTATTAGATAGGTCTCCTCATGTTGCAGTTTGGTCCACTCAAGGTTTTAAGGTGTTGCTAACTCCTTCTTGAATGAGCTTTTCTGTGGTCATGATAGCTGGAGATGGAAGGAGGGGGTCATCCTTTTTTTGCCTGGTTAAAATCCTTTGTCCTTTGTAAATAGTATAAATGGCATTTTGATTTGATTCTACCTCTCTTGAAAGTTTTGCCAATCTTATTTGAAATTTATTCTTGGCATTTCTTTTAGTTTTGAAACCTTCTGTTTTTATTTTGGTCACCTCTTTTTTTGTCTAACAGAAATAAGTAATTGATGAATGAAGTTTTTCTTCGATCATGTAGGAATTTTTATAGTGCTCCAGCTATTTCAGTTACTTAATATGGAAGCTTCAAGTGTTTCTTGCTCACAGTTGGAGTGAGGGCTTTGGAAATGTATGTGATTGACTACTGCCCAATTCCTGTGGCCATTCACTTGTTACACATTTGTGGAAGTTACAACCCCATACTGTAAGTTGATGGCCGGTACTGCCTTTAAATAGACAGCAGGTGACATTTCAGATTGAGGCTTACTAGCCTGGAAGCTCTATGAGAGCCCATTCAATTTAGAATGTTCAGAGCACAGACATTAGAATGTAAGCGTTCTTAGTTTGTAAGAAAGTAAAATGGCCTTTGTTTCTAAAAGTTGGTTGAGTGGATAGCCTCTTTTACCTTGGTATGCATTTGGGAATAACAACATTTGTCTCCCCTTTCAGGATTCAGAAAGAGCAGTTGCTTGCAGAGGAAGAGGATGATGATTTGAAGGAAGTTACAGATTTAAGGAAAATAGCTGCTCAGTTATTGCAGCAGGAGCAGAAGAACAGGTATTCATTGCAGTAATCAGATTTAAGTAGGAAGGTTACTTGGTCATTAAACAGATTATTAAAAGTTAAAGTATATTAGATTTACAGTAAACGGTAGAGCCCTTTTGGGGAATTTTCAAGGGACTAAGTACTAAAAATGCAGTGGGAAATATTTAGGCGAATGTATGCTTGTGTGTGTGTGTGTGTGTGTGTGTGTGTGTGTGTGTGTGTGTGTGTGTGTGTGTGTGTGTAATTACAGCTTAGAAATGTGAATGTATCTTAAGAGGAAAACTTTGTAGGCAGGAATTTAAAAATAATCTTTAGTATATTTCAGATTCCTTGGTGACTTCTTTTCCCTAAGTAATAAATTATAAACATACACACAAATCGTATGTGTCAATGTTTAAATATGTGTGTATATGTATTTGTACATATATATGATGTCCCCAAAGTCTTAGTGTTGTTTTAAGCTTTATTTCAGAAGCATAAATTCTACAAACTTACCCAAAACATCATTTGAAAGTTTCAGTATTTAAATGTCATTTACACTTTAGTTTTGTGAACTTTGAGTGATCAAGTTTTAATTCGAAGGAATACACTGTCACCATGCGTCGCATCTGTGACAGGTTATGACGTTTTCTCAGATCGGTAGATCTGTAGTTCAAAGTTTGAAAATCAGCTTGAGCAACATATTGGCCAAGGTTAGATTCTAATAAGAAACTGAGCAGTATTTCAAACGTTAAAATGACTAACTTTCCAAACATTGATTTTTTGTAACTTTGGAGCATTTATTCTTCTGAAGTTATTAAAGCTTAAGCCTGCACAAAACTTAGAACACCCCTCTGCGAGTGTGTGTGTCTTAGCATATACACAGACCTGTATATGTATACATATATATACACACACACATATATATACACACATATACACACGGACACATAAACATCTTGTTTATATGCATGTTTGGATATTAGATAGAAGACATTTAATAATTGTGTGTATGCTTAAAATAAATACTTGAATAGTTACGATGTGCCTTTAAAAGATTTAAAATGAATGTTAGAACTCTTTGGGGCACCTGTGAATTATATAGTTGATGTTGCAGTTGGCTAAAACACTGTGCTAATGAGTTGAAGCTGATAGGTTCCCGTTGCTCTGTTTCATGGCCATAGACCATGGGCAGCCTTAGGTCACAAGGAGCCCCAAAGGCCTGGGAGTATGAATCAGTGCAAATCCTTCCTCATCACTGGGGAGAAGGAGTGAAATCCCCTTCCTTGCTGAGGTTAGGCTAGTCAGAGCATCTTTTTATTCAAAGAAATTACATGTTGCAGGTGGCCACATAGTGATGAAAAGTGGTAACAGGAAATCACTGACATCTTAAGATTTTTAATGGTGCGAATGTGGAACAAACATGATTATTGGGCTCTTGTCTCCTGTTAGGAGTGCAGCACAGTGATTCTCAAAGCAACAGTGTTTTTTGTTGTTGATATTTATATTAACATATGAGAGACAGTGTTGCATAGTGGACGGAGATCCAGCATTGAAGCCAGGAATGCCTGGCTTCACGTTTGGCCTTTGACAAATACCAGCTGTGTGACCCTGGGCAAATCACTTAACCTCTCAAGATTAACCTCTCAAGTCACTTAACCTCTCCCTTAGGAAACTCTTTAACATTGTAAGTTTCAGAGGAGCCAATGGGTATCGGTAGGGGAGTTTCCTCACCCGAGAGTTCCCTATACCAATGAAATCACAAGTCCAGTCCCCAAAATGTTACCCGGAAGTGTTTAGTATTTATGCTATTGTGATAATGCCTGACCATAGCCATGGCAAATGGTAACTGTGCACACATGTCAGGGGTCATTGTGATCCTTTATTTACAGATATGCTATTTTAAAAACAAACAAACAAACAAACTTTTGAATAGTCAGTGGATGGCATGCCAATATGCAAAATATGCTTTAGTTTTCTTTTGTGAAAAGGCCTGGACTAAAATAGTAAGATACTTATTAGAATCCTCAATAACTGGCTCATGCCCTTTCTCCATGTTTGATGTGCCTTCCTTCCTTGTGATTCATGTTCTTTGTGCCCTTCATGTCTCCATTTTCTGGGATGCCTTTATTTCTCCATCTCAAATGCTGGGATTACTCTCTACTGGGCTTTCTCTGCACTGGCCACTCCTTAGCTTTTTTCTTAATTTCAGAGGTGAAGATGGTGGTGAGCCCAGTCTTGCCTAGTAAGATGCTACACTACTCCTTGGGCTTAAAGTAGTTTGGTTCCCGTTTTATCTCCCAGCAAGTGGCAAGACAGTTTTGTTTGCTTGTTTTTTTTAAAGTACCAAGGGACTCAAGAATGGGGGGAGGTGAGAATCGTTGCTGACTAAGGAGGCTCAGTGGCAAGGATCGAGACGTCCCCTTGTCAGAGTGCCTTTGAGGGGGAATCTCCCAGGGAACCCTGAGAAGCCCCACTCAGTATTGAGCATTGCAGTAGAAATATCCATAGTGAGTCTTTTTCGAACACGTATCTGTTAATTGATCATTCATCTCTTTCTCCCCACATGAGCTGATGTTTTTATACTCTAGGTGTTATAGGGACTGCATGGTAATTTTATAGTTATTTTTTCCTGGAAATTAATACAAAACCCGCCCCTAGCACAGTGCCCTACACGTGGCAGACCATCAGCATATGCTCAGCATAATTGGAAAATAAGTCAGAGTTTATAGACCTCCTTATTCAAAAGGAACCTTTGTTTGACAAACAGCCATTTAAAAGAAATGACATAGGCTACTTGCAAGATGACTGGAAAAGTTATTTTCTTTTTTTCTTTGATACTTCTTATATTAAATTTCCTTATCAGGTATAAAAACATTCAATTATAAGGTCTTTTCAGATCTCTTTTACTAAATGTTGAAAGCGAATTATGCTATTTTCTAACAAGATTCAAAATATTTAAAGGCACTGACAGGCAAAAAACAACCACCTAGTGACATAAGTGAGGAGCCTGGCTAATTTTTCACCATTTATTATGTAATTAGAAGGTTAAATAACATTAAGAGAGGCAATGTGGCAGAGTAGAAAGAGGCCTTTCAGTTAGGAAGATCTTTTTTTAAATCCTGCCTCTGACTCAAGATGGCCGTATGGCCTGGTAAGTCACTGACCTGCTGCTCCTGGCAGCTCTGGATGGATGTCACTGATCCCCAGTGGTTGAGGAAGTTTTTTATACCAATGAAATCACAGGCCCACCCCCCGTAAAAAAAGAGTTAAGTTGTCCAAAGACTTTCGTTAGTGGACAGCATTGAGATGGAGTTCAGGTGATCAGATTTGGAGTCCAGTGCTTTGTCCATTAGATCTTTTCTTTCCTCTACTTCGACTAATCAGCTCTGCCTAAGTTTCTGGTAGGTGCTCATGTTCTTGGCTTCTTCCTGTCCCTTGGATGTCATTGCAGAAACTTAAACTGAGCTTGGTTATTAAAAGCAGATTGTTCTGCAAAGACGTTAATGTAGTCTCTGCCTCCTCCGTCTTCACCCTCTAGAATTTCTGTTTAACCTCCTAGGTTTACCCTGCATGGGTCCAGAGTTATTTTACAGCAGAAATGATCTTAATGACTTTCCAAGGTGCCAACAAACAAACCATAAAAGTTGTAATGGTTTTCTTTTTAGATCTTATTGCATTTGTCCCATTTGTTTTTGTCATCTTCACACTTGATTAGAAATAATTCTTCCCACCAGAGGTTGTCTTTGACTACCACAGTGCATTAACTATTTTTACTTTTTATGTAGGTTACCCTGAATGCTTGTTTAACTGTTCACTTACCACCTGCTTAGTTTATAGTGAAAAATCAAAGTACCATCAGTTTACTGGGGAGGGGAATATTGATGTGGCTAATCCCAAAGGGCACAGAATGCCAAAGATGTTGCTATTAATTGAGGAAGATGTCATAGATGATATTCTTCCAGAAACTCTGTTTTGTTCAGAGTGTGTTTGAAAATTGGACAGCTAGATGGCACAGTGGATAGAGTGCTGGGCCTAGAATCAGGAAGACTCATCTTCATGAATTCAAATTCAGCCTCAGACACTTACTAGCTGTATGACCCTGGGCAAGTCACTTAACCCTGTTTGCCTCAGTTTCCTTTTCTGTAAAATGAGCTGGAGAAGGAAATAGCAAACCACTTCAGTGTCTTTGCCAAGAAAATCCCAATGGGGGGTCATGGAGAGTCAACTGAACAATAACAACAAAATATTTTAAAATTATTTTTCTTTTGTTCTCTGAGCATACCCCTAGTTAGCTGGCTCCTGAAGGCATCCAAAAGGGCCTTGGATAATATGAAGATGGTGGCAGAAAATCAATATTTTTCATTAGACAAACCATTAAGTGGGCGTTTTGTAATTGAATATTAAAGAGTTAGCAGGAAAAGATTTTAAGTGATCAAAATCCGAAGACTTCACCTCCCTTCCAGCCAGCCCATCACAAACCCAAGGGGCATAAAATAGTTTCTGAATTTTCTTCATGGATTGAATTTATGTTGTACTAACTACTTAGGCATAATTTCTTCTAAAAGTACACTTAGTTTTATCCTATATATCTAATCACTTTAAAAAAATTCTCTGCATATTCTAAATTCTTGTTACATCTACTGCTGATCGTATCAAAGTCCATTTGAAACATTGTCCTTGCGTGTATTTGAAACAGTGATTTAAAAAATATTGAATTTGTCCTTGAGAATAATTTGGGTGATTAAGTTCAGCCTTTAAAAGAAATCATTCAGTTTGCAGACATTTTAACCAATCTATTGAAAGTTCTCCAGCCTTCCTCACACTTACCATTATCAGAAAAGTGATATACTGCCTGAGGGTGCTCAGCAAAAGCTGAAATGAGAATGGCAACTGCTGCTTGTCTTTTTGTGTGTTTTTTTTTGAAGCATGCCACCCGTCCCCTTAATTCATTTGATGCTCCTCGCATGTAGACTTGTTGGCTTTCGTTTGCCTGTTTTAAAGGAATGATTTTCATCCATTTGGGTCTGTGCAACACATCATTTCACTTGGCCAGCCTTGTTCCAGGGCATTTTCAATCATGCCAGTTTACTCGATAGCACAGTAATTCTTTTATGTCTCTTACTTTTTTACCATCTCTTTATTTGCTTTTAGATAATATGAAAGTTTTGACTTGTTTTGGAAAGGAGATGGTACGAAGTGTTGTATAAAGTAATTCAAGAATAAAAAACCTGTAACTGAAATTGAGTCACAGACATCAATCACTGATTGAACTTTGCTCATTATGTGAATTGCTGATACAGTGTTGTTTTTGGTTTTGAGTTATAGTGCTTCTCTGCGTAGCTATTTTATGTGGCTTTGACAAGCTCTTGTGAAAGTTTCAATTAGAGGGTCATCGAATTGACTTCTGGCCTGCTACAACTAATCACTCAGTTCTTTCTGCTCTCGAAATCTCTCCACTCTTTCCTTGCTGTACTAATGACTTCCCTGTCCTCTCCCATCAACATCTCCTTGCTTCTTCCGTCTTTGGGTTTGGTTGATGTGCGGGAAATGTGAATACAGACGGAGACCTTTAAGTTCTAGAACATCATTCAGTGAGAAACTCTTCCAGAGGACCAGAGCAGCAGGACGTGCATCAAGGTATCTCAAGTTTGTGAAGTATGTAAGGGTCATTTTTATGCAACCGATTGTGGAAAACTTTTGGCAGTAGGCTTTTGCTTGGAGCTCTTAGCATGTTGAACAGAGTAAGTTATGTTTTCCTGAGAAATTTATTTTTATCTTTCTTTGTTTATATCACCAAATGTCGTGGAGCCTGATTGTATATAACAGCATGAACCGTCAGCTCCAAATCCTAACATTTCTAGAAGAGAATAGAAGTCTGGCTAAGACCCAATAAAGAACACACATATCATGTATGTTTTTGTTTATCTCTGGAAGTAGTCAAACCTATTTGGATATGCGTATACGGTCAGAAGTTTACCTTCTCTACTTAACCATAACTCCCTCCTAACTTTGTTTGGGTCCCAGCTGTGTAGATGGCAATGGATAACAGGACCTTGATTCTCTTTGTATTGTCGCTTAGTAATTGGACAGTATTACCCATTGGAACAATAGCTATTTCTCACTCCCTGATCCTTAGCCTCCAAAATTATAAAAGGGGCATAAGAAGAAAACAAACCCATTTTTCCTCATACAGAGGAGAAGGGAGGCAGCTACTTTCCCATTTTCACGATGAAAGAAAGAGCTCCAAACTAGGAGTTAGGAGAGATTGTGTTGTTTAGTCTTGGGCTGGTTCTACCACTAACTAGCTGTGTGACCTTAGGCAAGTCACTTCTTCATCCTGGGCCTCAATTTCCCTATCTGTAAAACAAGGGGGCGAAGTGATCATAGTGATCATGCTACAATTCTATCATTCTAAATTGACTAAGAGGGCTTTCCTCTGTGAGTTTATGTCAAGGGGATGGCCAACATACGGACTGATTATTGGGCTGCTCTATCACTTACAGTTCGTTATATAAATGGACTACTGTGTTATAGAAATTCTCATTAAGGGATTTCAGAGGTCCTTAAAATTAACGTTTAAATAAATGCAGTTTATCCACAGTTGTTTTGACATCTATGAAATCACTCGGATGTCAACCAGTAAAAACTTGGGAATGTTTGTGAGGGGGTTGCACTTTAAAATGATCTAACTTGGAAATGACTTCCCTGACACCCATCCCCCAACTGGCCCTTGTAGCTTTGTTACCCTGTAAGGATCATCCTCATGTCCTCCCCCTTTTTAGGTCATTGACACCTCAAGACTCTATCTAAAAACTGCAGGTAGTTCTGTTATTGCCTTTCGAATTTGACTTTTCTGAATTCTTGGAGATTTAGCCATCGGATTTCTGCATCACTGAAAGTCCTTGCTGCTTAATAATCATATTGGTACTGGAACAAGGAATTGTAATTTAAGGTAAATTGCTTTAGAGTAAAGGATGCAACAAATAAGCTCCAGGTAGAAACTGTTAGGAAGCCGAAAAGTATTATCAAAGTGATGGTAAAGATTCCGGGATTATCGTTTTCTTCTTTGGACTTTTCCCTGACTATCATTTTATTATCTTAAAAATTTGAAGTGTATAGATTTGTGTTGAGAATTAAGCTTGAGTATGTTAAAGCTGCCATAAATGGTATGACTTCTGAGTTCACTGTCAGCATTTTTGACTGGGTATTGTCTCTTTCTGCTGTCAAATGCATATTCTGTAATTTCCTTTATATTAAAATACGTTCTAAATCAGTCACGCTAGCACCTCAAACATGATTTCTTCTCTTTCTTCGGCTTGGAAAATTGGCTGTCTCAGCTGGAATTGGTAGGTATACATGGGCATCGTGGCTAGGAGATGCTCTGGGTTTAAAAGAGGAGCCTTGTTACAGGAAGAGGTGCATGAAAGGCCCAGTGAGCTCCATTCCTCCTAAACTTGCCACTGTCATTAGGAGCCCCTGTTCTAAATGGTATTTCCAAACTTGTTTCCCAGTAATTTTCTTTTTGGCTTAGTTGTATCTTAAAGATGTTATTGATGAGCTTGTACTCTAATTATTATAAATAAACGTTGATTTCTTGATTTGTTTCTAGGCTTCTTAATCATTCATCTTCAGTAAACCCAAGAAACAGACCTAAGCAAACTGTGGAATTTGAAAAAAGGTATACAACCATGTCAGTGCTTATTTGTTTATGGTTAGTCTGGTTTTTTCTGTTTGCCTATTGCTCAGGGGCAAGCCCAAATGCACAGAAGCTTGTCTGCAGACCTCTGCCGGGAGATGGGCTTTTTGGTCCCAGCAGCTCTCCAAGGCACAGGTAGAGGGAGCCATGCCAAGACGATCTCGGATCCTGGAAGTAGGGAACTGTTGGTTTGCTCTAAGGTGACTTGGGTCCCCGCAGAGAAGTTTGCTTCTAAGTGGTTCACATATTGAGAAGAAAAAGCATGTATGGCATGGACTTGACTAAAATGCTTTGTGATCAAGCAAGACAAAGATAAGGAGACTTAAGTTGTTCTCCTGCTGGGTTTGACTAGATAAATGGTCAGTGCCAGCTTTTCCTCCTCGTGAGCTGTGCTCATTTCTTCATACTTCAGCTGCATACAGAGCTGGATAGTTGGATTTTGACATCACTTGCAGATTCACAAAGCATTTTACATATTTTCTCTCATATGTTCCTCTCTGTGAGGTTGGTATTGTTATTGTTCCTGTTTTACAGATGAAGAAACTGAGGCCAAGAGAGGCTAAATGACTTTTCCAGGGTCACACAGTTAGATAGTGTCTGGAACTTCAGTCTTTCTGACTTTGAGTCCAGCACTCAGAGCACTGTAGGACCACCTAGCTGCCTGCCCTTTTAAATTAGTTCTGCTCAATCCATTTGTCCATGTACATAGTCATAGCGGGCATGACACCATGCAGATGAACGCTGGAAGACCGCACTCATTTCTCGAGAATCTAGGCGGCCATTGAAGCTGTAGCCCTAGGGTTGGACCTCAGGATGTATAACTTAGCAGTTATCTGCTGAGAGGAGAGAGATGAGAAGCATTGGAGATGGGTACAAGTGTTGAGGGCCTTCAGGGCCCAGAATCTGCCCAGTAGTGAAGAGTCACTTAGAAAGGACTGATGTCCCTCCACTCACTGTTCATGCTAAAAATCATCACAAACCAACAGGTGTTCTGTGTTTGGAAGTCTCCAAGAGTTGTTTTCGACTGACAACAGAATTCATTTAAATTTGCTTTTTTTCAATCATTCACATGATAATTTTGAACTTGTATATCATGTCTACATAGTCACAGCGGGGTAGACTGGATGCAAGAATTGTTTGTTTGTTATAAGATAGAAAAGTCACTTGACCTCTGCATTCTCAGTTATCTCTTCTGTAAAAGAAAGGGCTAGGATTTCATCTGCTCATTGATCCAGAGCTGGAAGGTTCTAGCGATCTAGTCCAAGCCTTAGGTCATCCAGATCAATCTTCTGTCTCTGGAGCCAGTGCTCTTTCCACGATAGCTGCTGAATTTGGTCACTTTTAAGGTCACTTCTGGCTTTAAAATCCCATGATATTAACAAAGGAAGAAAAGAATTTTTTGCTGCTTGAAATGAAGTCAATAAAACAAGGCTTGTGTTCTTTGAGAATTTTGAAAATTCATCAATGAGAACAAATGGATCTTTATATTACTTATTTTTTGATAATTTGTATCTAGAACACCTTTTTTTTGTGTCTTGGACCCAGTCTGCTGAAGTCTTTGGACTCCTTTTCAGAATGGTATTTTTACGTACATAAAATAAAATACATAGAAAGACATAAATTATATTGAAATACAATTATTAAAATATTTTTAAAAGTTCCTGGACCCTAGATTAAGAACTCCTGTTGTAGATGAGGAGGGATAAACGTTTATGTAGTTATTATAATTCATCAGGTAGTAAAATTGATTTTATTAGTCCTAGAATTTTCAGAATGCACATAATGGACTTTTTTAGCCATCCTCACTGGTGCCACCATTTGTTTTAATGTGGTTTTGGTCACTGTGGAAGTTTGGCCTTTCTGACTCTCTGCTTTTGGGTTTGATGCTCCTTGCATAGTTTACCAAATGAGATCGGCAAGTGGCCGACTTGCTTGGTGAAGCCAGTTTATGAAGGGACGAGTGTGTAGGGAGACTTTTCCCCCTTACACAGTGACTCTCCATTGTTCCACTGTAGTAACTGGGCATGCCAGGTTACGAGTTACAAACGTTGATATTAAAAAAGCAAAGGGGTGGGTGTGTTCTTAATGCAGACAAGGTGCATACTGCAAGGCATTTTCACACAACTTGGGCTTCTTTGTTAAGTAACCTCCTACTTAAAGTAATAATAATAGCTGGCATTTGTGTAGCTCTTACTATGTGCCAGACTCTGTGCACACATATTATCTCATTCGATCCTCACACAGCCAGGAGAGGTATGTAGGTGCTATTGTGATCCTCATTTTACAGATGAGGAAGATGAGGTAAACAGAGGTGAAGTGACTTGCCCAATGTCATATAGCTATATCAGAGATCTATAAAACTCCCTTTAAAATACCATCTTACAAAGAGCTTGAAGCTATTTTCATTCTTAAAAGGAGGGGAAGGAACCCCCCTTTCCTAAGTTTTCACTTGAGGGCCTAAAGCCCCAGAAGCAAACTTATGGTTTTTATTTTAGCAGCATTTAGACTTAGTATAGTCAGTTATATCTCTTCTCCTCTTTCTTTCAAGATGCTGCGTAAGCAGCAGCTGCATTTTTATTCCCTTCCCTTTTTTCTTTTCCACACTCTTTGAAAGTCTATCCTTTCCTCCCAACCCCACCTCCTCTGGAATGCACACAATACCCTCCTTTTCCTGGAACCCCTCCCTCAAAAAAAAACAAAAACAAACAAACCCTATTCAGCCCTCCCCCTCAACACAAAAGTTTTTTCCCATGGAGAATTTCCTTTAACCAACACATTGTGTCTGAATGCAAAGATTAGGAAATGCAGCCTTGAGTAAAGCCAAAACACTTCAGAAATTCAGTAGAAAAGCAGTCATTCATCTAAATTGATTTACTTGTAGAGCAGTTTAATGATGGACCGATTTAAATTTTCACTTTTTAACTATTTCCTGTAAACAGAGCTGAAATGAACTGTTGTCTTTCATTGTGAGTCTTTACCACTTTTTTCCGTAATAGAATGTTCTCCTGGGGTGTAGAAGTATTTTAACTTCTGTCTCCATCTCCCAAGTGCCTAGAGTAGTACTTGGCATAGGGTTCTTTTTATGAGGGTGTTGGTCAGAAATGGTCCTGTGATTTTATCAATGTAGGGAACCTCCCTCTTATCACTGCAAGTCAACAACTCCTGTGTGATTGATGTTCTTGAAGAGCTGCTGAGGCTTGTCTGTGATTGCTTAGCTTAGCCGGTTCTTCCTGCCTGGCTCTTTGCCTTCCTGCTTTGCCTCTCTGTCTCTCACTGCAGATAACTCTGACTTTATAGATGCTCGCCCACAATGGGGTGATTTCTGTAGAGCATCATTTATTTTGAACTCTTGAGGTTTTATGGCAATACACATTTTACCACGTGAAATAAATGGGTAGGCCTTAGTAAATTTGTCTGAGAATTTATTTAGCAAAAGAAAATTCCTGTAATAAAAATGGTGACTTAATAATGAAACATGTTTTTTTTTTAACCAAATGTATACTTAAAGATGCTTCCAAACAGTTTAACAAATTAAGATATGTTTAATTTTTTAGTGTCTTGGCAGATGAAGTAAATTCTGCATTGTCACCCTTCATGTGGCAGGTAAAGATGAAATTAAAATTGCTGTTGTGTCCTCACTGTGTACTAGTTTACGTAGTTAAAAGGCATTACTTTATTACAGCCTTTAGGAAATCAAAAGGATCCACTTGATGAACAGCAGTGGCCTGAAACACAACCCATAATCTGGCAGAATGAAGAAAGGAGGCGAAGCAAACAAATTAGGAAAGAATATTTCAAGGTATCTGGTTTTTTTAACGTGCTATGTAACTATTATTGTTCATCTTGTCATTTTTATTGTAAATGTAATTGCTTTACAATAGAACTTACTGATAAAATTAAATGTTGCATTATGCAGTATTAATGTGCGATCCAGTAATATCTAACAAAACCTTTAACATTTGTTTTTAAAACTTTGGGTTCCACATTTTCTCCCTTCTTCCCTCCCCACCCACCCTCATTGAGAAGGCAAGCAACTCGATATAGGTTATACATGTGCAGTTACGCAAAAGGCTTCCATAGTAGACATACTGTGAAAACTAACTATATTTCCCTTCATCCTATCCTGCCCCCTGTTTATTCTATTCTCTCTTTTAACCCTGTTCCTCTTCAGAAGTGTTTGCTTCTGATTACCCCCTCCCCCAATCTGCCCTTCCTTCTATTATTCCCCTCCCCCTTATCCCCTTCCCCCCTATTTTCCTATAGGGTAAGATAGATTTCCATACCCAAATGAATGGTTTTGTTTTTTTTTTTTTTTGCTGAGGCAATTGGGATTAAGTGACTTGCCCAGAGTCACACAGCTAGTGAGTGTTATGTGTCTGAGGCTGGATTTGAACTCGGGTCCTCCTCACTCTAGGGCCAGTGCTCTGTCCACTGCACCACCTAGCTGCCCCTTAATAAAATCAAAATAATTTTGAAAATTAGTTATGTCATGATAAGAGAACCACAGTTTACAAACTTTGTATACAGGGCAGATTGAGAATCTTTATTATCATAAGCCAGGGCAGGGAGTGATCACTTGATTAATAGCATTCCGTCATCAGCCACACGAGCTCTGAATAGAATTTCCTACGATTATACAGGCTGTTCTAAAATTCCTAGGGCATTTTAAAGGTGTTAAAACTTAAAAATGCCCTTATAGGACATTCTGCATATAGTGCAGGAAGCAGTCAGTCTTGGTTAGGAGCAGAGCAAGGCAACTTTGTTCTGTTTTTTGGCTACCAAATGGGAAGTGAGGAGCTCTCAGTCTAATGAGAGGGAGAGCACACAAACAAGTAGGTACAAATAAGATACAGACAAGATAAACTGAGGGTAATCTGAGAGGGAAGTGTCTTGTTTGAGGAACATCTAGGAGGCCAGTGTCACTGGAGAGCAGAGTTCTTGGAGGGGCAGATAGGGGCAAGTTTATGAAGGGCTTTAAAAACCAGAGGACTGGGGCAGCTAGGTGGTGCAGTGGACAGAGCACCGGCTCTGGAGTCAGGAGGATCTGAGTTCAAATCTGGCCTCAGACACTTGACACTTACTAGCTATGTGACCCTGGGAAAGTCACTTAACCCCACTGCATAGCCAAAAAAAAAAAAAAAGCAGAGGACTTTCTATTTGATCCCGAAGGTGATAGGGGCCACTGGAGTTTATTGAATGGGAGTGGGAAGTGACATGGTCAGATGTACATTTCAGGAAGATTAATTTGACAGCAGAGTGGATGGACTGGAGTGAGGAGAGACTTGATGCAGGGCATTGCAATAGTCCAGGTGTGAGGTGCTGAGGGCTTGTGACAGAGTGGTGGCAGAATAGGTGACATGTACTTGAGATGTGAAAAAGGTAAAATGAAGAGAACTTGGCATCGAATTGGATATGAAGGATGAGGGCGTGAGAGGTTGAGAGGGATGCTAGGTTAGGAGTCTCTGTGACTGGGAGGATGGCTGGTGCCCTCGACAGTACTCAGGAGGTTAGGAAATTCTGTTTTGCACAGGTTGGGTTTAAGATGATTTCCAGGTGTCCATCAGACACCTGCAGATGTCAGTGGAGTAATTAAATTAGGACTGGATAAGTAGACTTGACAATCATCAGCATAGTGATAATAGCTGAATATGGGGGAGCTGAGATCACTTAAGTGCCATAGTATAGAGGAAGAAGAGAAGAGGACCTGGGTCAGAGCCCTGTGGGACTTCCATGGTTGGGGGCATGACCTGAATGAATATCCAATAAAGGAGACTGAGTCAGAGCAGTCAGATAGGTAAGAGGAGAACCAAGAGATGGCTGTGTCATTAAAACCCAAGAGAGAAAAGGAAGAGGGTGCTTGACAGTGTCAAAGTCTGCAGAGGGGTTAGGAGGGATGCAGATTGAGAAAATTCCATTAGATTGACAATTGGAAGCCCAACTGCAGAGTTAAGAAGAATATGAGATGATAGTAGGTAGAGGTACCCATTACAGATGGCCTTCTCAAGGAGGTTAGCCACAAAAAACGAGGAGGACTATGGTATAATAGTGGAGTTGTTTTTTTTTTTTTTTTTTGAGGATAGGTCCATTAGGGAGAAGGGGAACTACATGGTCAGATCTGTGTTTTAGAAAAATGACTGAAGCTATGTGGAGGATGGATTAGAGAAGGGGGAAATTTGAGGCAGGCAGACTAATAGGGAGCCTCCTTCAGTTGTCCAGGTGAGAGGGCATGAGGACCTGAACTTGAGTTGGGGCCCTAGAATTGAATGGTTAGCAAATGATTAGCTACGTGGAACGAGGGAGAAGAAAGAACTGAGGCTGTAAACCTGGATGAATGGTAGCCTGGTAGTGCCCTAAAGGGTAACATGGAGGTTTGGAGGGAAGTGAGGTGACTTAGAGGAAAGATGATGAGCTTTGTTTTGGACTTGTCTTTGAGATGCATATGGAGCCTTCATTTAAAAATGTCCAAGACTTAGTTTGTGATGGAGGCTTAGCGTTTAGGAGAGATGCTAGGGCTGGGACTGTGTGTCTTGGAGTCATCTGCATAGAGATGATAAAGAGGTCACTAAGAAAGAGAGTTTAGAGAGAGAAAAGAAGAGCGCTTGGGCATGATCTGGGGGTACACCTACCATCAGGAGATGCGATCTGATTGATGATCCAGCTAAGGAAACTGATGTGTAGGAGGAGAACCAAGAGAGAACCAAGAGAGAGCTGGGACAGGAAAACTTAGAGTAGGAAGGGAGGTGAGGAGGGAGGGAGAAAGACAGAGGGAGGGAGGGAGGGAAGGGGAGAGAGAGAGAG